AGTCTGAGACCCCATCTCAACAAAAATTTACTGATTAGCCAGGCTTGGTAATGTGTATCTGTAGTCCCAGCTGCTACGGAGGCAAAAGGGGAAGGAACACTTGAGCCCATAAATTTGAGATTACAATGACCTATGATGATACCACTGTACTCTGGCCTGGTGAAAGAGTGAGGTCCTGTCTCTTAAAAAAAACCACCCAGGCCAGGCAAGGCGGCTCACACCTATAATCCTAGCACTTTGAGAGGCCAGTGTGGGGAAGGGGGATGGGTGGATTGCCTGAGCTCACAGGTTTAAGACCAGCCTGACCCAGAGAAAGACCTCATCTCTAAAAATAGGCAGGTGTTGTGGTGAGTGCCTCTAGTCCAGCTACTTAGGAGGCCAAAGTAAGAGGATCCCTTGAGTCCAAGAGTTGGAGGTTGCTATGAGCTATGATGCCAAGGCACTCTACTGAGGGTAATGAAGTAAGACTCTGTCTCAAAAAAAGAAAAAAATCTGAGCCAGCCATCTGGGTTAGAGTCCATAATATTTATATTTTGACTGGAAGAAGGTTACTTAACTTTTCTCTACTACTTTTCTCAGTTTCTCATCTGTCAAATAGGGATAATGATAGTACATACCTTAGGTGTGAGGACTAAACGAGTTAATACTTTCAGTGCTCAGCAGACAGTGAGCCCACTCTAGGTTAGCAGTTGCTCAGTAGTACCAGAACATTTGGGAGACTGTCCATCTCAGTCTCAAAGGGGCCAGCCTATCCAGTGCCACACAGCTAGTATGCCAACCTGCTCCAGCATATTCTTACACTGGTTTAAGGAGCAAAACAATGCTTTTTCATTGATCTCTATAGGTGAAATGCCTATATGCCTCTGGCCAAAAATGCTATTTGAGCTAGGCGTGGTGGCTCATCCCTATGATCTTAGAATGTTGGGAGGCCAAGGCAGAAGGATCCCTTAAGCCCAGGAGTTTGAGACCATCCTGGACAATATAGTAAGACCCCCATCTCTACAAAAAAATTAAAAAGTAGCTGGGGTGGGGTGCAGTGGCTCATGCAAGGTGGGTGGATTGCTTGAGCTCAGGAGTTCAAGCACAGCCTAAGCAAGAATGAGACCTCATCTCTTCTAAAATAGAAAAACTGGTGGTGCCTATAGCTCAGTGGATAGGGTGCCGGCCACATACACCAAGGCTGGTGGGTTTGAATCCATCCCAGGCCAGCTAAAACAACAATGACAACTGCAACAACAACAAAAAATAGCCAGGCATTGTGGTGGGCACCTGTAGTCCCAACTGCTTGAGAGACTGAGGCAAGAAAATCTCTTAAGCTTAAGAGTTGAGATTGCTGTGAGCTGTGATGCCATAGCACTCTACTGAGGTCAAAATAGTGAGACTGCCTCAAAAAAAAAAAAAAGAAAAGAAAAGAAAAGAAAAACTAAGGCAAGAGGATCGTGTGAGCCCAAGAATTTGAGGTTGCTGTGAGCTATGATGATGATGCCCTGGCACTCTACCCAGG